GAATTTCATATTGATAAGATGGATGAACGTCTCCTCATCCTAAAATGGATTGGAAATAGAAGCATTTTTCTCTATGCAGATATGAAATTTATTCTTCAGTTGTGAGAGTGACTTTGACAATCCAGTTATTATTGGAAACAAAGACTTAAGATCAATTAATGAAAACCCAAATTTTCATGTTTGACAGATACTCTCCAACAAGCAATGTAATTTGTAATCATAAACATCTATATGTGTTTGAACATCTAAACATCATGAATGTCTAAACATGATTATATAACCATGAAAAGCTACCAACAGCAGGACAACTTATTTAGTGTAGCAGAAACACAGATTTCAAGAAATTTATGGTACTATAAATTTGTTCATGAGTAAAGACAGACTCAGTAAGTTTGCTATGGAATTGAAACATGCTTCATGATGACTGCTTTGACCCCATACACATTAATTACAGAAACCACATTTTTTACCATGTGGCTTCCACATTTTAACCACAGATGGATAATTGTTCACAACACATCCAATCTAGAGGAAGCCAGCAACCTATGAATTGTGAACACTGGTTGACACAGTTACATGATTTTCCCCGAGAATTTGAACTGCGAAGTGCAGGAACTATTGTCACACCATGGTGATGTGGGAGCTGGAAGGTTATATATAACTGGGAGCTAACAAATATTTGTCCATGAACAAACTAATAAATAAGCCCTTTAGAATCAGTATAGTGAAGCAGTGGCAATAAGAGAAGCGAGAAGCAAAGATTCAGTATCTCCTGAGAGATAAATTACCTTGGCTTCTGTTTGTTTTCCGATTACCAGGAGGCCAGGATTTCTGTCCTTGCATTTACATACCTTAATTTAATCTATGTTCGTTGCAATTATTAATATCACAAATAACATGGCTAACCAAGGCCATAAAGTGACTTGTAGTGCAGTGAATTTTGATGTTAGTTTAGTTGTCTTTTATTAAGGGACATAATTATAAGCACCAGTATGGAACTTGACACCTTAATTCTTAGTGATGTTGAATGTCCCTCATAGTATTTTTCAGCATACCTATTAAGACCTTAGAAGAAATTTCTCTTAGTTCTTAATACTAGATAATGCTCCTAAGCAACTGATACAGTTCTTTTTTTTCTTGTATACAATGACTTCTTCTACTTTGGATTTTTGGAAGCCAGAGTTCAAATTTGGGATTCATTTTCATAATATATCAGATATTAGAGGATGACTTCCAATTAAATTTATTATAGCCCACTCTGTTTTTCTCTTACCTTCACTCCCCTAGAAATATATTTGTTTATTTGATTGGATATATTTGTATAAGTCATCTCAGGTCCTTTTTGGAAAGAGACAAATTAAATAATTACCTAAAAATAGAAAAATTGAGTTAATATTGAATAAATAATAGTAAATATGTAATAAACATTCACATTATTTTCAAAAATAGTTTTATTATAGAATAACTCTGTGTACTTTATTGCAGATATTTGTCTAAAACACAAATGTTTACCTATAATAGATACTCCTAACCTTTCTTGACTTAAAGTAACTTACAAAATTGTAACCAGTTAGGTAAAGCATTCTAGGCCTTAGAGAAAATTAAGGATCAAGATACGATTTATGCCTATGAAAATGAACAAGCAAAATATAAACTGTGGCATTCATAAACTTTAGTTATTGCTATAATTTAAAAATAATATCTGTCTACTGTCTTAGGAATTAAACTGCTGTCACTGTTTTTTGTATGGTATTTGGTTAGGTTAGAGAGTAGCTGAAGCATTCAATGCATTTTTCTTTTCTTATATTAAGAAATGTCTAAAGAAAACTACAGCCTGTTTATTAGCTCTCATGAGTTTATAAAATGGCCTCAGAAATTATTCTAAAAAGTATTTTCATAAATAAAATGGCATTTCTTAATTTATTACATATGATATGTAATGATATTCGGTTTTATGTATCCAAACATATTTTGGCAACAATTTCCTCTGAGGCAATATGAATGATTCAGTAGAAGTCATCTCCAAAATTCCTTATTACATTTTTTTTTCACTGACCCTATAATCATTTAGCATCAGAAAAAGTTGTAAATGAATTTTCTAGCTAATTCCCTTTAGGCAAGCTTAAACATGGGACATGTGATAGTTATATTTGCTCATTCACCACTCCCTCCCTTTGATAAGCTTCCAAAAATATAAAAAAAACAAAAATATAAGCTCAGCACTGTACTTTGAAAGACTCCATAAAACATCTAAATGTCGATTTGCTTCTTTCTTTTTTTGCACTGTTTTATCAGCTCTATTTTAGAAATGCAATTTAGTCAAAAAATTAAGAATTTTAAAGGTGGAAGGGTGATTAACAGGTGAATAATCCAATCTGAAGAGGTTAAGAGGTTGTTCAAGTTTACCTAGGCAGTTATTGTCAAATCCAAGACTAAAACCTACCTTCCAGATTCTCCATCTACAAAGACCTCTGATTATAATATACACATCTGTTATACTTTAATTCTTATGTTTTTAGAGGTAAAATTAAGTGATTTTTATTGTAATAGTGTATAGTATATGACCTTAAGATAGTCATTAGATTTCTGGCTTCTCCAGTAAAATAAAATACATTGGTAATTTAAACTGTTACACAGTGGTTATTTACTGTTTTGTAAAGTATGTATTTATATATAAATGTAAAGATCATTAAAAGCGAAGATTCACAAAATTTGCATTTGTTGAATGCACACTTTGGTTCTTTCCCTTTGCTTTCTCCAAACCACGTACCCACAGAAACATGTACATCTTTGTGATCTCGTAGGATAGACTTGGCCATAGAGAGGAAGGAGAGGTTACAAGAGAAGGTAATACATCAGAATAAAGAAAGATTGATGATTCAGTAATTAGTTTCTATTATTATTTACAAAGAAATAGGAACTACCACCTTTAGACTATTAGAATTGCTATATACTTAGCAAGTAGGGAAATTGTTAAGTTGTAAAAACAAGTAGAAGTTGGTGTCTCCTTGCCATGTGTGTGCAGGGGTAATGAGTTGCTAATCACCTAAATGGGAAGCAGGCAAGGTCATCTGTAGATGGAATCACTCACAAAGTGCCACCTTTACTGGTTGGGTGCCCCTTACTAAAATCCCGCATAATTGAATCCTTTCATGACTTTCTCATATTTCCCAACTCTAAGCTCTACATCTTAGAGTTTCGGGTAGCTCTGTAGTCTAGGAACCTATTCCAGCTAATGAGTAACCATCCTTTGATTGGTTGTACCCATTCAGATAATTATTTCACTGTGCATTAAAACTGAGAAATTTTAAAAACTATTGGAATAATTGGGAAAACTTTTTCTGAGAGAAGAATCCCCTTAGCAGCCCTGATACAAACATAAATGCTTATATGTAAAGACAAAGTGTAATGACTGCAGGCAGCTTTGAGCTATATTTTTGTTATGCTAGTAGATCTCAACATGTGCTTAGAGCAGTATGATTCTACTTTGACAAAATTATTAAATGAAAAAAAATGTATCCCAGGATTCAAGAACCTCTAATTTCTCAAACTCCTATTTTCTTTTCCTTCCCAAGTAAGTTTTGAGGGTCGGAAAAGAAGGAATAATTGGGGATGGATTTTCTACCATTGCAATTTTTGCTAATACTCTTGTATTTGTGCCTATGGCACAAGTTTCAAGCTATATGTTTTACCTATACACATTTAATTTTAAAATGTCAGAATTTGGCAAACCTCTTATGTGTTATACCTATTATTTCTTTTTTCCCACCCTCAAAACTTATTCTCAGGCTATTTATTTAAGTGACTAGTCAAAAGACTCAGTATCTCAAAGGTAACTCAATAAGACAAAGTTTTACCTTTATAAAGAATATATTGATTTTTAGCAATATTGTTCATTTTAAACTAAAGATTTAAAGTTAACGCTACTTCATAAAGTTTTGGTCATCAACAGTTTAAGGGTAGAGATATAGGTAGGGAACATATTATTAATAGAGATGAAAAGAAACTTCATCTCTTTCTTCTCAGAAACAGAAGTGTAAGAGCGGGTACAATGCTGTAGATTTGTCCTACTTTATATTATCACTTATTTAGATTTTAGTGTTCTAATCACCAAGAATCCACATTCTCTGTTAGATGCATTAGGCATTGACCTTTGAGAAAAAAGTTATCTTCTAACTTGTCAATATTTGCCAATAGACCCGTCGGGAATTCTTCAGCGTGCAGTCTAGGCTTGGGGTTTATAATCTCTCATCACCAAAGGCTCTCATATATCTTTTTACCAATCTTAAGTACTGAACTGCCATATGCAATTAAATATGTAATTAAATACCTTCAACAAACAAATGCACACAGATGAGAGGTTTGCCAGATTCTGACTTCTTACAATTAAATGTATATGAGTAAAACATATAGCTCAAGATTTCTGACATAGGCACGAATGCAAGAATGTAAGCAACAATTACAGTGATTGAAAATATATCCCCACCAGTTTTATCAGCAATCCCTACTGTAACTGTTACATTAATGTCTCATTGTATTAATGACACTCATAGTTTTCAGACTTGGAAAATTTGATTTTAGATGTGACTTTCAAAACCAATTTCAAGTAGAAACATTATTTTTCTGAGGGGTGTTTATCTGAATTTGATAGACACACTCTGGTGGGTTTAATGTAGATTTAGAACCGTTATACATCAGAGGAGTTGTAAAATGACTTCTAACTAGTTATTTATGTTAAAGATTGTGAAGGATAATTTTTTTTCTGTATTTAAAAATACAGAATATTTTTCTTACATATTAAACTGATGACATTTTTAGATTCATAAATTTATAAAATATTTTAATTTGTACACATTAAAATTCATTGTCAGTGTATTTACGTTAAAATGAATGTTAACAATTTGGTTCCAATAAGATTGAAAATAGAGCTTTGAGAAAAGCGTTATAAAGGTGTTTGCATTTTCTCGTGTGTTTAGTGTGCATATCACTTTGCATTTCAGAGCTCTTGAATCTGAACAGAACAGCAATATTTCATAGCCCTTTTGGATTTCTTGATCTCCATACAATGCTGCTGGATGAATATCAAGAGCGACTCTTCGTGGGAGGCAAGGACCTTGTGTATTCCCTCAGCTTGGAGAGAATCAGTGACGGCTATAAAGAGGTATAGAAATATCAAACTGCATTTCAGTAGAGAAAGAAAAGGGGGAAATTTCAAGAATGTCAAGAATGTTACTTGTCTTTTTAAAATTGTATTGACCACTTTAAAAATTTGAATGAAATATTAGTTAAAACTGAAGTCATTTTGAGGAAGTAATGTCTAAATCGTGTTTTATGAACTTTTCTAGTATGACCCTGATTCCTTGATTTCCAGACACTCTTGCCTGGTGCATTTGACATTCCTCTGGCATAGTGGCCCTTGTACCACACCCACTGTCCTGAGCCCTGGGTTTGGAGGATGATAAATCACCACCAGTTCCTCGGGACTTGACTATTCCAAAGCACAAACTTGAAGAAATGTGAATATGTGGCCTCAATATAACTACCTTATATAGTTCTGTTGGCAATATCACTAATTCAGGTGGATGCTCCTTTAACCCAGTGGAGTAATTTATAAATTTAAAACAAGAAAACACCAACATCTTTTGGAAAAAGAGAAAAACAATCTGTAATTATAATTCTACAAATAATTGAGCTAAATTTTCTTAGACTCCTATAAATATTATACAAAACATATATAAATATTTAAAACATAGTATTTTTGGCATAAGTGCATGTAGTATGTAATACACTTTCCACATAATTGATTTATTTTAATGTTTATGAGCCATATCCATATTTTCTAAAGTCATTAAAAAAAAAGTCTTATGACAAAGCATCATTCCTTGATTTCTACTAGTTCCCTATACCTAGAGGTAATACTTTCAAACCTTTTGTTGTTTCTTCTGGTTCTTCCCTACATATTTCACAATAACATTTGCCTACTGTTCTTTATTGATATCTTTCATGTTAGACAATATCTATTAACTTTAAAGAAGATGAGGATTTTAGCATTCTTCTCTTGCAATACTACAGTTAAAATATCCATGTACCACACTTCATCAGCAGCCCTCCCTCTATCTTCCCAAATTAATTATACCACAATGTTTGGCTAAAGAGTAGTGTCCTTACCTTATGATTAGGAAGATAGTATTCACCACTGAGCCACATGTTGTAGGTTTATTACACTTTTCCCTCCCTTTCTTCTGTCATTATTTCCTTCCCTCTTTCCTTTACTTCTTTCTGCAATTTTCTTCTCTTGAAATTAAACATTATCCCATTTTTTCCATTTGATAATATTTTTATATTAGTTTCACTAATTTTTTGCCAACCTCTCTACAAGAGTTTTTACGCTCCTCTCTAAGTAGTGAAACATACCCGTTTTGATCAGTTCACATTGTTTGTGTTTTTTAATTGAAGGTATCCTCCATGCTCCACTTGTCCTGCTAAAGCTGGCTTCACCATCACCTGGAGCATCTTCTCAGCCCCTGATTTGTATATAACTTCAGTTTTTCAGCCCCCACCCCCACCCCCCACCTTCCCATCTATAGTGTGCCATGTTGTGGAAGCCTGTACTCTCCTAGCTTCTGGAAGAAGGATACAGAGTCCAGTATGGAGTCTTGTATGTTTGCAAATTTTATTGTTCCAACTTCACACATTATTGGTAGATGGAAATAAAATTCTTGGTTGAAAACCACTTTGCTTCAGAATTTTGAGGATATCACTTCATCGTTTCCAAACTTCTAGTATAGCTGCTGAGAAATCCTATTCTAATTTCAAAGTTTTGGATGTTACCTTTCACCACCCCTGTGTTTAGAATCGCCTCTTTTAATCTGTGTTTTAAAACCTTCTCATATTTCTCTTAGCATCTCTCCTTTTACACCCACTGCACTGAGACACAATGGGCCTTTCTACCAGGGACCCCATGGACCTTAGCTCTAGAGAATACTCATTATTTCTGTTATAAGTTTTCTTCTCTTCACTCTTCTCTTGACTTTCTTCCTGGGACTCCTCTAAGTCAGATTGTTCCCCATTTATTGTCTGGCGTTACTGCTTATTATGCACACTTTGAAACACTTCTCCTGATTTCATCCACACCCAGCCCTCTTCTCACACTCTAGGCTTCTAACTTCTGAGAATTTCTGGAGTCTTTTTTTATGAATCAGCTTGCATATTGGCTCCTATCACCTTGCACACAGTTAGATTTCCGCTTTTCCTCGTGTGCAAAGTGCCAACACTTGCCCATATGTTTTAGAGTTTTTAAAATGTTGCTGATAGTTCTTTGGCATCTACACTACAGTTTTATTTGTCCTTTTTGGATTATGTCTTTTTCTGTCATTTTAGTCGTTACAGGTTAAAGCAGAAGCAAATATTGCCTTTCACCCTTTCCTTTCTTTCTAATGTCTTTATTTTCTCTGTAGTTCTCTTTTGACTTCAAACATATGGACACTAATTGCTCTCTTTCACTTTTCCTCTCTCTCTCTCCATGTATATATAAAATATAAATATAGATGCACACACATGCATGCACACACACACGACCTCCTGCCAGTCAAATTTAATGGGTTTTTCTTTCACTTCTTGGTTGATCTCTTTCCTACTTCAATCCTAACCAGCTCTCTCACTATCTCTTTCTTTTTCTTCTCTCTCTCTCATATCATCTAACCTTGGAAGTGTCTAACCTAGGGATCACAAATAAGGCTGTCTTAGATCGATCCCCATATTAAAATTAATATGTGAATATTACAAGAATCTACAAAAGATCTTTCATTTCAGAAAATTAACAACCTTTGCATTGAGGAAGTAGTTCTTAAATTATCATCCTTGGACCAAAATATTGTACGATTCTCATGGAGTGATTCCCTGGAATTCACATTTATTACAAATAGGTGACTCGTGTACACGAAATTTCATAACAATTTTCCTGAACTGTTGTTTCCTATGTGGACCATAAGGGCAAGAGATAGCAGCTTCTCATTGTAATGTGATTTCGTCTTCAGAGCAGGGGAAATTGAATCGCCTACTCATTCTCATGTATTGTTTTGGACTAATTATACCTTCAGGACTTTAATACTAGGACGCTGGGCTTTCATGGCGGAAATGACCTGTGAAAATTATGTAAGGGTAGACCTGGAGGGTGATGAGGCTTTATGAACTGCATCTTGGGGAACTAAATAGAGTGGTATCGGCTATTGAGCTTCAGGGTGCCATCTAGCCAGGATGTCAAGGAAAGTGACTATAAAACCTATTTGAGTGCTCTATACTCCAGGGTAAATCCTTATTTTGTGGAGCTCAAAATGTATATAACTGGGGGGACTTTTAAGTAATATAATTAACTCAAACTTATAAATTTCAAAATGGCAGAGGCTCCTCTCAGGTCTGCAGTTAAGGGCAGGAGCCAGGAAGGAGTCCTGAGGCTTATGATGCTTCATTAGCGCTGATATAACTTCAGCCCCACCTACATTTCTTATTTTGTACTTGTTCTTCCTCTTTAGAATGATTGCCAATAAAATTCTCAATATGCCCTTGGAGGCTGTTTTTAGTAGCAGCAGAGTAGGAGTACAGTCAACTTTATGACATTCTCCTTAAAAGAGCGAGCTAAGAAAAGGTTCAGTTCTTCAGTGTTCACCAGGCTCTGAAGATGTGATGTGTCTGCTTTGGGGCCTGCCTCTCCTGTCTCGTCTAAATCCTACTCTCTCAATTGTTTTCTTGCTGTGATTTTTTTTTAATCTCTCTTGCTTTGCTTTCTCTATCTCTGAGCTTCTCAACCTTGGTACTGCTGGCATCTTGGATAATTCATAGTTGGGGATGGGAGTGTCATGTTTATGGTAGGATGTTTAGCTGCATTCCTGGCTTGTACCTACAAGATGCCAGTAGCACCCTCCCCACAGTCATGATAATCAGGAAAACTTTCCACACTTAAATTTAGCTTACCTATCTACAAACAAGATTCAGACCCTCCCATTGAAGACACACATAGGATGCATGCCTATAGTCCCAGCTACTCTGAAGGCTGAGGCAGAAGGATTGCTTGAGCCCAAGAGTTCAAGACCAGCCTGGACAACATAGTGAGACACTAATTTTTTTTTTTTTTTTTTTTTTTTAGACAAAGTTTCGCTCATGTAACTCAGGCTGGAGTATAATGTTAAGATCTTGGCTCACCTCAACCCTCACCTTCTGAGTTCAAGGGATTATCCTTCCTCAACCTCCTGAATAGCTGAGATTACAGGCATGCCCCACCGTGACTGGTTAATTTGTATTTTTAGTAAAGATGAGTTTTCTCCATGTTGGTCAGGCTGGTCTCAAACTCCCGATCTTAGGTGATCCTCCCGCCTTGGCCTCCCAAAGTGCTGAGATTACAGGTGTGAGCCACTGCGCCTGGCTGAGACACTCTCTAAAAAAAAAAAAGAGAGAGAGAGAGAGAGAGAGACACACACACACACACACACACACACACACAAACATACAAACACACACCCTTAACCAAGGATCTACCTGGTGATTACCACGTCTTTCCTTGAAACACCTTGAAAATGTAGCCAAAGCGTTTTATTTTTTCACTTTCTCACTTTCTATTTATTTCTTTGTTTTAATATATTTTAAAACATAATATTTCATAGAGAAAAGGATATACATAACATAAATATATGAGAAAGTATAATAAAATAAATACTTGTGAACCCAGCACCCAACTTCTGAATGAGAATATCACCAATCCCATTGCAGGGGCAGCTACCTTCATCTTCTCTCTGTTTCATTCCATATGCATCCTGCTGCCTAGGAGCAATTACTACCCTTTCTTGTTTTCATTTTAAAAAATGATTTTATTATATATTTTTCTATACAGTATATATTCCCTATACATGTTTCCCTACACAGTATATTAGTGTCGCTACTTTTGAGCTATATAAAAATCATATACAATAATGTGTTGCATTCTTCCAGGATTGCCTTTTGTTTTATTTTCTTGTATTAATATTATTTCTTATATTTAATTATGTTACCTATACTCATGCCTTATTTGCTGAGAAGCAGAATAGTGAATTGGGAGCACAACCCAGATTTTAGTGAGTAAATCCTGGCTATGCATGTGTAATATTGCGCAAGTTCTTAAATCGCTTTGTG